CAACAAACACACAGAATTTCAGTTTGAGACTCAGCCTGTGTGAAAACATACCTTTATAAACAAGATGAAGCTAAATGTCTAAATACCAAAGATTGTCATTTTTAAACCTAGTCAATGTAGTTCGCTCTATTCCCCACAGAGGGAGCCCTCTATATAAAGGCCATTGCGGTGTCAAGGACATCCACACAGTGGATAACAAACACAAGTGTACCAAAATAAAACCACGTACAAACTCTGTGAATCACTGAGTGTTAGATCAGTCAAACATGCACACACTGGAAACAGAGACTAGTTTTTGAGCTGAACATTGAGCTTTTTTGTGTTGCTCTGTTAACTCTGTGTATCTTATTCAAGGCTCAGGTGTTGTGACTGTGTCCCAAGGTCACATGCTCATCATCTCTGTCCTCTAAACTCCTCTCTATCTCTCTCCCTTTTATTTGCTTCCTTATCGCCTCAGTTTTTGCTCCTTTTATTTGCTCTTGCTGCTTTTGATTTGATTAGCGTCTCTCCTTTAAACTTCCCAGCTCTTCAGCTCTCCCTTGCTCCCTCTGTCTCTCCTCCTTGTAATTAGCCAGTGTAATTGCTGTAGTAAATCTTTTCTGCTGTTCCAAGGAGACTGGCTGATATAGGACTGATTTAATAAGCACCCCATACCAGCTTACCTCTCTCTGTGTGTGTCTGTGTGTGTACACAAGTGAGGGTCTTGTTGTGTCCTCTGTTATTTGCTATGGGGATTTATAGTCTGTTTGTGTAGTTTCAGCAAGTGCAAATTCAAGTTCAAGGTAATGCTGTGTCGATGTGGCGACTGTGGCGCGCCTTATCAGTAATGCAGGCAGCATACAGTGTGTTGGGTTTGTGTGTCGGTATGTGTGTGTCTCATCAGTAATGGCATTACGTGCCGTGAGTGCGTCATTGCAGAAGACCTTCATGGCCAGAAGAGCAGAGGGAGGTCAGAATGGCCCAGGGAGGGTAGAGCTGGCACGTACAGACCAACTGTTTCCATCCCATATCACATATTTCCCCTTAAAACACTTCCATTCACTCTTTTCTGCTGCATCAGTCCCGATCCCTCTTTACTATCACACACAAGCACACATACAGTCTGGAGCAGCAGGTTCTCTTTTTTCAAAATAGAATCTGACACACACACACACATACGTACACATACATTAACACTCTCTTACTCACACATGCTTGAATGCTGATACAGATGAAAACAAGTTGTTATCAGCTACAGATATTTGTGGCCCAAGTTGCAGTACATCATTTGTACCAGTGGAGGGCACCATGACTCCACATATAAAATGTATACTTCATGAGGCAGAATCACTTGTGCCTCCTGTAGTTGGTTTAAAATAATAAATTTACACTCTAACACTAAGCCACACTTTTTCCACATTTTTGAATGATAACAAATGAAAAAAATAAATGTAATGTAAAACCAATCAAACTGTCTGAATCAAAACACCCCAATATTGCAAACAACAGACCAAGTATGGCCACTATATAATGGAAAAAAAAGTTTCCATAATAAAAATTATCAGAAAAAAATATCTTAGTAGTTACAGCATGGAATATAAAATAAAATAATTATTGAATAAAAATATAATTATTGAATAAACTGTGATCCTAATTATTTCTGTTTGAAAAAAAATATTAAAATGATTAAAAATACTATTTTGAATTAATTCTCCTCGTTTTGTAAATTATATATGTACATTTATTGGGTTATTTGTAATTAAACAATAAATTCAGATAAATGCTTTTGCAGTTGCATATTTCATACACCAGGGGAGCGCAAGGGAGCAGCTCTAAGCCCCTCCCATTTGCCCTCCCACTTAGACAACATCCCTCCCACATCCTGCCCCGTCTCCCCTCCTCTCTGCCCCACCCTGCCATCTGGTCCTTTTCACATGCACGCGCACGCACACACAGTCGGGATCTTTTCTTCTCATTTCCTTTCACGGTGAAAAACAGGATGAAGGGGCTCTTTGAGAGCAGGGTTACCGTGGAAACTCCCTTATTCTCCTTCTGTCAAACTCACTGACATTGTGAGACACATTTTCAGTGACAGAATGTTGGACATTTAAAGTTTAAAGGGACCAAAGCTACAGCTGTCCTTCTGTCTGCCGTAGATCTAGACTGCTGTTTACTTTAGACAAAGAACTTAATCCTCCCCTGCCTCTTTTTCTAATTTATCTTCTGAGTATTTTGTACTTTCCTCAAGTGAACCCTCTGAATTTTGAAACTAAATTCTTCTCTTTGGCTTTCCCTGATAGACTTTTCACCTTTGTTGATGTTAAAATCTGGCAGAATGTTTTGTTTGTGTTCTCTTTTTCTCGTCCCCTCTTCTACACACTCAGCACGTTTTTTTCCCCCCAAAGAACTGCTCTCCCCCACAGAAACCAATGTTGAAACTGTAAACCATCTCCCGTGTTCCAGTCTGGATAATCTCTGGGCTTGGAATGTTGAATGGAAAAAGTTAGTTTAGAGTTGTATAAAACTAAAGTTGTGCTGTGGAGTCTGCTGTTTCACCACCAGAGGGCCTCTTTAGAATGCTGCACGCACACACACATGCATACAATAGAGAACACCATCTGAAAGCTGTTAGTGGGTTAAAAATAAACTGTTGCTTTCCATAAGCATGGGTTGGTAATGACAACATAGAAAAACTTCTTTGAAATAATAAATGATAGATGAAAAGGAGAAGAGTTTAAACAGAACTATGTGTGAAGGAGTAATGTATCAGACTTTTTTCTTTTTAGTTTCTATCTGTTTTTTCCTCTCATTTCTTAAAGTCCTGTCCATATTCTCCCCCACACTTTTTCTCCTTATAAGGGGCAAGAGAACAAGAGGAAGAGGCTCTGAAAAGGGGGAGTTATGGGGGGGGCTCAGGTCTGCTGACTGATAAACAGAGTTTTCTTTGTGCATACAGTCACACACTGATGATACACTTGGTTACATATTGACAGAGACCTCTGCATGAGTTTGCCATGCGTGATTGTACTCTGCTCCCCCTCCATCACGCTGCCTTTTTTCCACACTTCTCTCTTTTTTGTTTCCCCAGCTAATTGGAAACATACTTTTGAGATGGAGGGAATTTATTTTTTCCCTTCATAACTTACATGTGTATGCTGGCACACGCGCACACAGACACGCATAGTTTTTCTTCTCCTCCTCCTCTTTTTTTAGTGCCGAGCAGCTGTTTGGGTGAACGGGTGGGGGGAGGTGTTCCAGGAAAAGCATAGCGTCTGTGTGTTGGTGTGTGTGTACGCGTGCATGTACATGTGTGGTCACAATGGGCTGGTAGTGATTTGTTCCCAGAAAAGGTTCTTTCTTTGTGTTAGAGTGTATGAAAAAACAGCCGACGATTGAACATGGATGTCAGTACTCCACATGTGTTCATATACATGTAAACTCTGCTGCCTGTGTGTGTGCACGCGTTTGTGCCTGAATGTCTGAGTGTGTGTGTAATAACTAATGTTCTGCCTCAGTCATCTCCCCCTCCTCCCCAACAATGACTAAGTGCAACGTGGTGAAATTCTCCATTGCAGCCACTAGAGGTGCCATCAGATCATAAATGAAATGAAGCTGGCTGAGCATGTGGAAAACCACAGAGCAGCCATTTTACACTCTGTACACCAGACCCCATTTTATGAATCAGCCATGATGTCAACACAGCTCAGACTGATTTCATTGGTCAGTGAGCAACTGGCACTGTAGCTGTTCTTGCTCCCATACTCCCATACACACACACACATGTCCTCCATCTCTGTGAGATGCACACACAACGCACACACACATCCTCCATCTCTGTGAGATGCACACACAGTACCATGACCTAGTGACAGGATGCTGCACCATCACTGGGTCACTAAATCCCTGACTAACTGGATTGCTCCCAAGTAAAGAGATTATAAATAATCCAGGTTAGAGATCTATCAGCCTGTGCACGTTTCTGTTTGTGGAAGCTACAGCTTCATATTGTGTTTTATTATGTAATTTACAATGTGAACAATATAATAACATGTTTTTATCTTTTTATTGTTTTGTGGCATACATTTCTAAGACATTGTTCAACAATTTTGAGCTGTTGACATCAGCCACTCTATTTGTTATTTCCTGTTCATCTGTGAATACATGTAAATGCAGAGTGTATTTGTCACCTTGAAGTTGTGTTTACCATTTTTTGCTGTTTTCCTGAAGGATATTCTTGTCTCTGTGCGTGGTGGTTTATTTCCTGTTACAGTTTCCTCTGCTCACTATGGTTCATTGTTGTAGTGTGTGACACACAGTAGTGTCATTGATTCAGTGTAGAGATGTACAAATATGATTAAATTGTTATAATGGTATATGGTTCAACCTGAAGAAAATACACAACTTTTGTACCATCTGGTGTAGAATTTATGACATTTAATTGTAAAAGAGTGTAGTTCTATGGAGTTAAAGCTCACACAGTGTCAAACAATAGGAACGATTGAAGCCTCAGTGAACTGACTGTTTTGTGTCCATTGCAAATGGATGTTTAAATGGAGCGATGTGGAGCTCATTAAGTGGCTCAGGCCGGTTAGCTGAACTGGGAAGTCATCGGCCTCACATGTTGAGACAAAGCACTGTTTGACTGAACAGACTGATGAGTAAGGCGTCTGTGTGACTGCGTTGAACCTATCAGACATGACTGGGCTAGAATGACTTGACTATTAGAAAACTGCAGTAAGTTAGGAAATATTGGTGGGAACACTAGTGAACAATAAAATTAACAAGATAAAGTAAAAGCATAAAATAAAATATGCACACTCAATTTGATATAAATCAACGTTTTTGCCATTTAGTTAATAAGTCTCATGGGACGTCAGTCCATCTCTAAAACATCCAACACAATGTCTCCTTTGTTTTCCATATTTTTGTTTTTTTAAATAACAATAAGACATTCACCCATTGTCTCATTGCCCCCCGCTTTTGCATTAACACCGTCCTTCCTATTTTCTTCTCCTCTTCAGCCAAAAAGGAACAGGATGGTGGTGACGACAAGAAACAGATGCAGAAGAAGAAGGTGAAGGAGGTCAAACTTCTTGATGCCAAGGTTGCACAGAACCTCTGTAGGTACACACTAAATGTGTAACAGAACATGTGTACATTATTTCTCCTTCACAGTCCATGTATGTTCAAAGTCTGCTTGAAAAAAATGTTCATTTAATTTTATGTGATTACAGCCATTTTCTTGGGATCTTTTCGTCTTCCTTATGAGGAGATCAAGAATGCCATCATGGAGGTCAACGAAAAAATCCTGACTGAGTCAATGGTGCAGGTAAAAAGCAGAGAATTGTTTCAGTTACACTGCAATTTAATAATAATAATAATCTGTCCTAAACAGTATGATATTTTATTACTCAATGAAAAAGTTAATCAGTGACTTTAACAATCCTTTTAAATGGTCTAATTTGTATCACACTCCACACCACGGAGGAAAGTGTTATATCAGCTAAAGCTCTGTTTAATGCCTTGGTTAGGAGTAAAAGTTAGCAAATCACAAGTCACCAACTGTGCTCGACCATCTGAAAACCTAACATCCAACAGATGCTAGGAGCCCAACCACAGTGAGAGATGAAAAGGAAATGACAAGCTTTATCTCCTAATGAAGTCTGATGTCGTGCAGAGAAAACATCAGACCCCGTTTTAAAGAGAAGCGCTACACACACCCTCAGATTTAACTTTCAATCTGTTGAAAGGTTTTATTTCTTATATATATCTTATATATATAAAAGATAATTTGGTCTTGCTTAAGGAATATCCAGGATTTGCAGTATTTACCCAGTACTAAGTCTGTGTTCTCTAATTGTGTGTAGTTTTTTCTCTTTTCTGTCCCATAGAACCTGATAAAACAGTTACCAGGAGAAGACATTCTGAATGCGCTTGGAGATATGAAGGATGAATATGATGACTTGGCAGAGTGTGAACAGTTCGGAGTAGTGGTGAGAACTAACTTGTTTTTTGTTGTTTTGTTTTTTTTTTTGCTTGCCCACCTGACTTGGACATGACTTTCTGCAAAGATGACAAAAAAAAGCCAAGACAAACAAACAGTGAATAATGTATAAGACTGATCCCAGGCACTGTCATTCTTTAATGCACAGAACATCATCATGCTGCCGAACACTTGCAGCTTTGTTTAACTGTGGATGATATTATTACTGGATGAAATCCCCTTCAAATGTGCAGGCGCGCACACACACATTGTGGCAACAAAGATGCCAGTCACAGTTCTCACATCACCCCCTCTTCTTCCTGCAGATGTCCACTGTGAAGCAGCTGACGCCACGGCTTCAAGCCATCCAGTTTAAGCTGCAGTTTGAGGAGCAGCTGAACAACATCAAGCCAGATGTGGTTTCTGTCACTGCGGCTTGTGAGGAGCTCAGACAGAGTCAGAACTTCTCCACTCTACTCCAAATCATCCTTTTGATTGGAAACTTCATGAATTCCGGATCTCGGAATGGAAAGGCCTTTGGCTTTTCAATATCGTACCTGTGCAAGGTAAAAACTAGATGTACACATTGTAAAGTAAAAGCAAGACCTTCCATGAAATTGGTTTCTAAATAATCATGATTTGTATATACCTTCAGGTCCCAAGGTAATAGGACACCTCTATGTCCTATTTTATCTTTTCAAAACCCTGGTTTAGTCATGCTGAGGAAAACAGGACGTATACCATCTTAAATGCAAATTATTCACCAAAATTAGGAATTATTATCAATTACGTGCATTTGTATTTGTTCTTTGCATTAAGGGGCTCAAAGTGATAAGACAAAACCACTTGGATAGTGTGATGTCTGCATGATACATCACAATAAATAAACTAAAATAAACAATGAATGAGCTGAAGCCAACAGCCATAAACAGCACAGAATGCAGAGAAATGCCAAATGTAACATATATTGATGTTACTATTAATATTTGATTTTGTTGACTTAAATAATTAGATGTAGGTTTTCTATAGGTACTTCAAAAATAATTAGATGTAGGTTTTCTATAGGCAAGTAGACATTTTGTCAGCAGATGTTAAATTTAACAGAACCAGCAAAAAGGTTAATTCCATACACAATTTTCTTATTAAAGACAGTGAAAAGGTCTAAATATGCTGCCGTTATTGTTTTTTTTAAATATATTTAAATGAAAATCTGTGACACAGGGACAAAACATAGACATAGCAGGCCTGTTTGGATTGATTGAATAATTGATTGCCTCCTGGACAAACATTTTAACTGGTGCTTATTCCCTTCAGCTTCGTGACACCAAATCAGCTGATCAGAAGCAGACCCTCCTCCACTTCCTCGCTGATGTGTGCCAGGAGCAGTATCCTGACATTATGGGATTTCCAGATGAGCTCATCCATGTGGAAAAGGCCAGCAGAGGTACACGTGATGTCCAACTGACCTCGATAACATTGTCACCTTACAGGGACTCATTCTCATCCATTATTTATGGAGTCACTGTTAAACTTTATGCAGTTTCATGTATTTAACAATTGTCAGTGTAGGTTTGTGTGGGACAGAGGAGGTGTAGGAGGTGTAAGTATGACACCTTGCATTTTAACTTTCCTCTCACATCTCCCACAGTGTCTGCAGAAACGATTCAGAAAAATATAGAACTAATGGGTCGCCAGATCAAGAACCTGGAGAAGGACATTGAGAAGTTCCCACCTCCACAGAGTGACAAGGACCTGTTTGTGGAGAAGATGTCTATATCCTCATATTATCAAATAGTTAACAGGAAAAATCCATATGTTCAAGTGTGGAGTTTTTTTTCCCTTAACACTTTCTTCACAGTTTTGTAGTCAGTGCCCGTGAGCAGTATGAGAAGCTGGATCTGATGCATAAACACATGGAGAAGCAATACATAGAACTTGGAGAATATTTTGTCTTTAATCCGAAAAAAATCTCTGTTGAGGATTTGTTTGGAGACCTGAACACTTTCAAAAACATGTTCCAGGTAAGTGAGTCATATCGGTGTTCGTGTGTATATAAACAAACTAATGACTCATCCCAATGAAAACAGTGTGATGTGGTTTGCTTTCAACAGGGACATGGTTTAATGCCACATTGAGAAAGTTCTCTAGACATGAAAAGGTGAAACCATGTCAATGCAAAATGGGAGGAAAGCAGCAGCCTGTCCACCTGTGGTATACACATCACAGTGATGGAGAATGACCTCAGTGTATTGTCAGTTAAAACATACACAGGCTCTAGATGTGCCCTTTGGGAGATCTCAAATAAAAGAAACGTGTTTAACCAGTTACCCCTGATAACCACCACCCACTGGGTTTTAGGGTTGTTGACATACTAAGAAATCCAACGGATTTTCTGTTAACCGTCTTTTTGAACTTGTCGTAATCTGTCCAAACTTGTTTTTTCTCAATTCCTTCAACAGCAAGCAGTGAAGGAGAATCAGAAGAGGAAGGAGGCTGAAGAGAAGATCAAGAGGGCTAAGCTGGCGAGAGAAAAAGCCGAGAAGGAGAAAGAAGAGAAACAGAAAAAGGCTCAGCTCCTCGACATCAACGCAGGTCACAGTTGTTCTGTGTTATTTCATTACTATTATTTTACATGTAAGAAGGAGGTAAAAAAAGAAAAAGGACAAACACCCACCATCTTTCACTTTGTATTTCCTCCAGACTCCAGTTGGGGGCACTCAAAGTCCACGCTTTTCATGTGCGTTTATGAGTGTGTCAGTGGAAGCAGCACATCAGTGTTTATAGACTGGAGTTAATCCAATGTTAATGACCCGTGTTTTGAAGTAAACAAGTAACAATGAAGTGATGATGTGGGAGGATGAAAGGGCAAATTGTAAAATGCTCAACCTTGTTCATACTGTATCTGGGGTAAAGAGGATTTTCCTCCACAGACGTTGACTAAAATAAGAAGCTGGATCACTTAATCACCTTTTAACATGCCTCTTAGAGAGAGTAACACACACACACTTCTTTGCATATTCTCTATACTAATTGTTTACACTGAGTTCTCTAGTGCAGACACACATTTATGGTCAGGCACATTTCCCCTCTTTTCTTAGTATGTGACCTACTTACAGCACATTCCTCCTTCTTTTTTGGCTCCAGTTGGATTCTCTTGGGACTACGCAGTCAAAATTTCCTACAGCCACACATCTCCTTTTTATGTGTGTATGTGACTGGCTTTGTGTCCACATGTAAAGATTTGTATAAGTTTTGCAAACTTTTATCAAAGGTCTATCTGGCCTTTCTTCTCATTTTCCATGTTCCAGCTGGCTTCTGCTCTTCTTTTTTCCCTTACTTTTGTTCCACAACTCCCTCTCTTTTTTTTCACCCTTTCACCCACTGTATCTGCCGTGCATTTAAAGTGCATTTAAAGCCACAGCACTTCAGTTGCACTATTTTGTTTCAGACGTGGAGCATATGTTTTATGACTGAAAGTGAGATTTTCATCTCCAGTGTCTCGAGGCACGCACCGGTGGAACCTAATAGTGCTTCAAAGTTTGTCCGTGTGTGCGTGTGTGACGGGCTGAGATCATTTACATACAGGTGGTAAATTTGACTGCCTTTGCCGCCCGCTGCCATTCTATACTTTCTCTATTTAAATGACACCACCACACAAATCTGACCAACACACACCTGTTCTTTGTTCAGTATTTGTTTATGACCTCATGATGGATGTTTTTACACAGTGGGAGCATTCAGCTGCTGTGTCCTTCACATGTTGACATGTTAATGGTTCTCTTTTTTCACTCATTTTCTCACAGACACACACATTACTCTGTTATCGTGTACATTCTTAGAATATATAGACAAAATGTCCCAGTTGTTAGTTAAACCCTACGAGGTCAGAGTGTGTTTGTGGTTTGTGGCCTTGTCATTCCTCAGTGTGTTACACAGACACAGAGACGCTCAGACAGCAGGACATGTGCTTACCATGTGATGGTGGAGATTTAAATAGGTTTTATATGACGATGATACTTTGAAGTCTATTAATTGTTATAAGACTGCAGTTATTAAGGATCTTAACTTGCATTAAAAGGCATTTGTTAGGTGTTCCCTCATCAGAGTTTGAGTCCCTCATCAGAAGCCCACATTCACTGTCTGCGTAGCAAATTAGGCATTTGCTTTTATTTAACACACCTTCTGTTGTTACTACTATTAATAAATAAATAATTCATCCCTGTGCCCTACATTTTCTCTGGACCAATGCCAGAGCTGCGCAGAGATGTACTGTTCTCTCTATCTGCAGCTAGGTGTCAGTACAGTCTATAAAAGAAGTCTAAGCCTCGCCCTCTTAGCGCCTGTGGTCAAGGGTGTGTGCATGCGTCGTGATTTTCCCTTGTGCAGTTGCTGGTATGGGAACTGCCATTAGGAGCGCTAGTGCTCCATCCAAAGATCGAGTGAGAGAACAGTGTGGGGGAGGGTAGGAGAACGAGCAGGAATAGTAGGGCAGCAGATGCTCTCCTGGGAATTAGACTGTGTTTATGCTTTTAGAGGAGAGTACAAGAGGAGAAACACGTGGTTCTAGAAGCAGACATTTTACTTCAGGCTCTCCATAGTCCAGCAGCCATATTTATGACTCAGTGGTGAAGTGCTGTTTACAAAGGATACCAAAAAATGAAAGTCAGAGAAATAAATAAACAAAGATAAGAAAGGCAGAAAAAAATGTTTAAAAAAATACAAATGGTGCAGAAAAACACTGTCTATAATAACATACTTGCATATGAAAAGGTCTACAATAAAAAAAGCAGTGAAAGAAATTCACAGAAGCATGTGAAAATAAAAATACAAAAATATAAATATGAAAAAGTGCAGAAAATAGTTTTGCAATAGTAATGCAGTAAATACAGTCAATGAAAGCTGCATGGGAATTTACAATCAAAATATTCATTGCAGTAGTATGACTGAATGCAATGGTTAGCATAAGTTCATTGTTGTTGTAGGAAGTGATATAATCTTTGCGTTTACAACCACTTTTACACACACAAACCCATAATTTTGATATCAAGTAACAGTGACTGTCAATGGCTTTTTTAAATACATATTGTTTTTTGCTCCACATCTGAAAGGAAACAACAGAACCGTTTGTGTATTGTCAAAACATAGGCCTGCAACTGGTGTTTAAGTTGGGAGTTTGCTGCATCAAGAATAAGTGTGTTTAATATACATGTCTGTCATCGTGTGATCCCTCTACTGCTCCCCTTCATTTACACAAATATTTTGGTTGTCTCTCTGCTTCTACTCATGGTTTAAGCAAAGCGTGTGATTAGTTAAAGTGGAAATATGCCATAAGTGGCTTGCCTACAAGTACACATGCGTGGCCTACATTTTTGTGCAGTTCCAGCAAATGGACAGAGAGGGGTGTTGGTGAGCTGTGCAAGAATCTTTGTGTTTGGAGAGACTGTCTCTGACGTGAGAGGAGACCATTGGCCATCTGCTTCCTGGCTTACAGAAAGATTAAATATTCTCTCCGTCTCTCTCTTTTTCTGTGTAACTCAAACCCAGTGTTTTGGGGGCTGGAGTTGACGCCGTAAACCTTTAACCTCACTGCCCCCTGTTCTAGACCCCTCACTGTGTGTCTTCAGTCTCAAATAGATATAATTAAAACCATCTGCCTGAGTGCTGAGTTGAGCTGCTGACGCCTGCCCACAGAAGAGTCATGACAACTCAGGCTGTGGAACACACAGAAGCTTTTCAAGTAGAGTGTCCCTTCCCACCACTTCGACCCCCTCTGCTCCCCCTTCTTTTAATTTAACACTGCTAGTCAGTGAAGATGTACAGAGAATTCTGATGCAAACCATACAGCTAGTCGCACAAACCAAGTCTGTATGCACGTACTGGTTTCTTTTTTGTAATCTGAGCCTTAAGGACTTATTCTGTAATGTTGTTATTATTTTATAATTTTTTTTCCTTTTTCGAGTCCAGGTTGATGTTTCTTACAGAACTGTTCTGTTTGTGTATCAGAGGTTTCTTTCCTAGTTCAGTTTTAAGCCCACAGCGGTTTCAGTAGCAAAGCTGGGTCACTGGATATCTGGGTTAATACTGCCAATTTAACAAGTTGTCCACGTGACTCACTAAAGCCCCCTACTGCCTGTGTGTGTGTTGGCATGTCTGGGAGAAAAAGCATCCCTTCAGCATGCGAAAGGATTGACAAAACCACATGCACATGTCGGACAACCAATAAATAAAAACACAATATAAATAAATGATTTTAATTCCAAAATATTGATTTAAATTTACACAGCTAAATTTTATTTTTTGTGTGCTCTTTACAGAGGGTGATGAAACTGGTATCATGGATGGCCTGTTAGAGGCACTGCAGTCCGGCGCTGCTTTCAAAAGAAAACGAGGACCCCGGCAAGCAGGTACACACAATAACACTTCCAAACTAAAATCTTTTTCTCTTCAAACATGAAGACCTTTCCCTCTGCCATGTCTTTCATTTGATTCCCTTACTTCAAGTTATTTTTACTCACAATTGTGGCTGTATGCAACCACATGAAGAACATGAGACTGGTTTGTTCCATTCTTGTAATCTTGCTTGCACTTGGTGTATGTCTCACCAAGCCCAATGCCACAAATGGCTGGTATGACAACAAAAGTCAAGTGTGGGTGCCAACGGTTCTGTGGGTAGCTTGATATTCTGTGTAAGAGCAAGTGAAAGGGTGTGGTGGCTGACAGACAAAAGTCAGGCAAGAGAAGTTTAACCAGAGTGACAGGGAAAAAAATGTCCAGAAAGTTGAAGTTCCCCTTTACAGGCTTATTTTTTGTCTCTCTTTTTTTAAGGGTTGTTGTTTTCCTGTAGATCTCAGGTGACATCATAACATTTTTTGTGTGTGTTTGTTTGAATGAAGGAAGATCTGTAACAGGTGGCTTTTTATTTTATGATTTTGTGTGGTTTTTTGTTTCAAAATGTTTCAAATTATAAGAGCTTTAACGTCGTGTTTGTTGAATTTTCTGTCTTTTAACCAGGATCAAAACATTTTTCACAGCACTAAGCAGAACAGGTGTTCACATCCAGTCTGTGAGACCACACTCCTGAGCACAGCTGCATCCTGTATTGATTTCAGTCAGTCCGTATTCCAGTTAGTAGCATTTTATTTTTGAGCCCTTTTCACCAGTCTTGTGACTTTTAATTTAAAAGCATATGTCACATTGTCAATCATATAATCTGGTACATAAAAGGTTCTGTGTCCTTGTGTGCTGCTGGCATTGTGTGTAACACACAGTTGGCCATTAAATCATGTGAAACCACGTGAGCAGCACACGGTCCAGTCTCCATTAAAACATAGAGAGAAAGAGGAAAAGAAAGTGTGTGGATGTGTGTGTGTCTTAATGACATACACATGTGTGGCTTCTTCACACATAAGAAACTTTTGGGTAAAAGTGTGTGCTACATAACTCTCTGGCAATTGAAGCCAGATGTGAAACAGTGATTAAGAGTCAAAAAAATCACAGAGAAGACACTTTGGTCCACTTCCTTCCTCTTTCTTTCTATTCTGTATTATTTTCTACCTTCTTGCTTTTTTTGTGTCACAAATTTAGATACAAAAAGTAAATGGGGGGTGTGCCGAAGTAGAGCCAAGTTAAAGAAAGAAATGGGGCCCACTGGAGGGCTGTGCCGGTCACCCGTTATACTGTTTGGCCTCTTCACACTCCTAACAGGAAATACCTGAGTGTGCGTGTGTGAGTAGTGTGTGTGTGTGTGTGTGAGAGAGAGAGAGTGAGTCAAAATAAAAAATGCAAGCAAGCCTCCCTACACATACTTGTTCCTGGTAGGAAAGACTAAGTGGTCGTACTGTATGTATCACATTTCTGCTCAATTCCTCCTCCTCCTCCTCCCAGTCTTCTCTCGCCTAGTCGTTTAAGATATGTTTTCCTGTTTAAGGACAAAGTTTTCCACAGCTCATAGAAAGGTTGTGAAATTGTGCTGTGTCTTGGGCAATCCAAAGTGTGTCAACTTTTAATAAGAATTACTTTAAGCTTCTTTCTTTGTAGTTACCCACTTTGCCGGGAAGGACCGGGAAGTCTTTCAACCACACAACAGGAGGGTGTGTTTATGTTTGTGTCAGTGTATGCCCGTGTTTGCATGGCTGCCTGAGTCACACATCTCAATTAAGCAAAGCAGAAGTGGGAGGAGGCACATCCTGCCTTTAAGTTGACTGATACACATTAAAGCCCCACTGCTGTGGCTATAATCAGCTGAGGTAAAAAATGCTGCCCTTGTACTCATGGGGAGTATTACTGTAATGTGAACATCCACTAAAATGTCTATTGTTATGTTCTACAAACAAAATGTTGCTTTGTGTTCAAATGTCAATGCCCTTTCTTTAGCTTAAATTCCTTTTAAAAAATAAGGGAAAAACCCTCAGTGTGTTTTGTTCAATGAGTTGTTGACCTATCAAAGTCAAAACTAATAAGTCATTTAAAATCAGAAGACCATTCTCCTTGATTTGGGTCGCAGCTTGTCATTACAGAGTGATGAGGGGTCCTGAAGGCACCCCAGTTTAGTCACAACAGTAGCCCTCGGTTGAATTGGGTCAGCTGTATCAAGGCTGTCGGTAAGCCTTGATAGGGCTGACCCATAAAAACCAAGATTAAATGAGGTCAGTGGCAGCACACTGAACTTCCCTGATCAAACAGTTATAAACATTTTGACAACATTTCCTGTCATGTTTTTTAATAAGAAGAATATTAAGCATGCCACGTGGGTTTGCAGTTAGTTTCTCTTCTTTTCTGTATTTTTTTCTAGGCCAGATAATGAAATTGCTATCCTCACATACAGCTTTGTTAAAGTCACTTTTAGGCCCAAAAAATTCACTCTTTTGAAACTCGCAAATAACTGTAACAAGTCCTTAAATGTATTTCTTTATATTAATGTGTTGACTCACATATAACAAAACATAGTGTGACATTAGATAGTAGTCGTTGTAAATGACCAAAGACTTGTGTAATCTGCATTCTATTTAAATTGATTACAGCCTTTAGACATTCTAAAATATACACTACTTTTTTTCAGTTTTATTCTTTCGTACATTTATACACCAGAACTTTACTCGGATAAAACTTTTGTTTCTGGATGATTTGATAGCTGCTGTGCATTTAATGTTTACCATTAGCAGAAGTGTGTCCTTACATCCACTCCATTGTTTTCGTCCCCTGACAGCTGTGGTGAGAGCCACGTCATCAACTTTGTTGCGAAACGATCAAAGGGTGTGTTGTTACGGTCATTGTGTCGTAACACTGTGAGTGAATAGAACTGGCACAAGGCAGTGGAGGCTCTCACCTTTGACCCGTACCCCAGTTTGCTGTGTATGTGTCGATGCCTTTTGAATAGAAACAATTGGTTGCTGATTCTCAGCTGTCTACCCACCGTCTGTCTCCCCTGTCCCTCTCTATGTCCTTTGAATGCACACAAGCCAGATGCTCACATGCCAGTACAAAGAGGCGCAAGGACAAAGTTTGCATACCAACACAGAAAGAACATTCACCTCCAGAGAACAGACAGCCTTGTATTTTAGTTTTACTGATTTGCAGGATCAATTGCAAACTACATTTCTGTATTTTTCCAAATTCTTAAAGGCAAGCACACTCATTGGCTTGATTGAGATTTATATGTAAAGGAATGACGTGTAAAGTCTCTCAGTACAGCCCCATCTGCCGGGCCATGACCCTTGGTAGAACAGCCAATCACAGTAGCAACAAGTTGATGAAGCACCAGTCACAACAGAGAGACAGAGACAAAGAGTTTGGCAATAAAGGCGGCACACGCTGGCTGAGCAGACAATGCCTTAACAACAAAGGTGGGGGGGTGTCTGTGTTCGCGAATGTTGACCCACTCTGACCAATAGGAAAGCACAGAGAAGAAAAAAAGGATTGATGAATGAATGATGTCACACATCGACCATGATCAACCAGCGCAAAATACTATCAGCCTGAAAACAGTTTATATATACCCTTCAAGGCTTCTCTTCACTTGTTCATGAGACGTTAGTCAGAGTGTACTGCCAGATGATGTCATTGCTTCCCACATTTACCCTGTGCTGAGAATGAGTGTGTTACCTGATGTAGCCTGAGGAGGGCAACACGAGTCTCTGTTTAGCTGCAGCATCTGCAGATACCACACTGCTATTGTTGTCATTGCCTCTATAACTGCTTCCAAATAATAACATATCAATAATCTACCTACTTGTTCTTGGTCCTTTTTTTTGTAATTTTTTTTCCTGCATGTGCTTATTAATTGCCCCACAGGGATAAATACATTTCTAAAGTTGAAATGATGTATCCAACCAAACCAAGCAGCACTGTGCTTTTTTTTACCTTTTTATACAAAACTCTTTTTGCTGTGAACTCTCTTCCTGTGCTTTTCTCTGTTCCACTTTAGGTGCAGTTTACACAAACACTGTACAACAAAGGGATTCTTTCCCTCATCTGGGCAGTTATTATTAAGAGCCCCGGAGTGTAATTAGTTACAGATGATATTTTTACTAGACTGGTGCCTCTGATCAGCTGCCTGTCTGCAGAAACCCGCATTCACTTTGACCCCCACCAGTAAACAAAGCTAAAATCAGTTTCTGTTGAGGCCGAGTGCCTTGGATCATTTAGTCAGCATTAAAGTTATTCTGTGAAAACATCACGCATGAAGACATTGGGGGACTATGGTTCTTGTGCTATGTTAAAGACTTGCTATCCAGTCTGGCTTCTCTGTTAGGAGCTACAGCTGCAGCATTGTGTCTGACTTTTGTTTTGTTTTTTTAATGTTGGTTATATCATTTCTGTGGCTGTTGGACTTCATAGAACTTTACAAGGGCCAAGAATAAAGCATAACATTTAGAATTTGTCCTCAGATCACACCACTGCACAGGCGGCAGTTTGTAATGGTTACTGTAAATGGTTTTAAAACTATTTTCATTGCTTTAAGCTTATCCATGTGATTGCTTTGTACATACAGTATTATGACTTAGAGTACTTTTACAATAGCTGATGGTTTACTCCCACTGTATTTTGACACTCCTAAGTAGCTTTTACTTACTCAGAACTTTTGTCTTAATCTGCTGGTTGGTGTCACAAACTTGTCTCTTTGCTCTAAAGATCAATGTAGGATGAAGAGACATTTATGAGAATTATTAGTAAATTTCAACTCAATAAATGAACACATGCAGTCATAGAGCATGTGCCTGCATGTGCACACGCTGTTTTTAGCTCTTTCTCATCACGTCTAATTAATAACTTTTAATTAGTGAGGAGGTGGAGATCGGGAACAGGATGGAAATAGATGCAAAGGATGTACGTGAGAACAAAGTGAGAGATCTGAGATCCCTGTCTCACAGGAATGAAGTGGAGGTGATAGTTTGACACCCCAGCTGCCTGTGCTCATGGGTCCTGCTGAGGCCCATGAATGTAAAGCGTGAACATAATGCTTTCTGTCCTTTCTCCACAGACTCAATTGTGTCTTTGTCACAGCTAGTTCTGGAGACCTGGTTGGTAACAGTGTGTTTGTGGGCTACGGATTGTGTTTTGGTGTGTGCGTGTGTTAGTTTTTTCATCATAACTATACATGAGATCATTTGCATGTGTTTGTATATTGTTTTGAATTATGTCATTGACGAATTCATTTTTTTTTTTGTCCGTAGTAAAAAACCACGTTGATTCTAGAGTCAATAGAGTTCTATTTATATCATGTGCTAGGCTGTTGCCGATGTAACTTTACAAACATCTTTATTCTCAATTATACAGGTTAGGGTTCTGAGAAATTATATTTATCCTTGATGTTAATCCTTGGCAGAAGGAGACTCTTCAAATTGCCAAATTCACTTTAATAAAAACTACTACTGACATAAGAACATTTAGCAAACCAGAAAAATAATACACTCAACACATTCTTCCCTGACCTATATATTTCAAAATGGCCGCTGCCGCACAGCTGTCTTCCCACACAACAGATGAGTGGTGAAGGAGAGAGCGAGTAGAGGTGAAAGGATGTGCACATGAAAGTGACTGAAAGAATAAAAATGGCTGCATCTTCAGGGCATAATCTAGTTCTATTTCTGTGTCCCTCACTGTGCAGCATCCTCCTCTTCTCCTCCGTGTTCTATTTTACAACCTATTCTTGTCGTTCCTCAGCACTCCTCTCCCCCTCTTTGCTCGCTCTCTCCATCTATGTTTGTCTCTTTTTCTTTCATCCGTGCCACTTTATTCCTCCCACAGCAGTAATCCTACCACCCTGTATGTTTTCCCAGCCTCCATCGTCTCCCTCATCTCCTCACATCAACACCTTCACCTTCTGTATTCCTTCTTCTCAGCGGTTCTTCCTCATCGCCTTATTTACATATTTTCTGCCAACTGTAGCACATCTCTGTATCACACTTGACCACCTTTATTAAGTTATTTAAAGGAGGTATAAACTGGTAAAGTTAGGGCTGTCAAAATGAGTCATATTTGTGAGATTAATCAGATAAAAACATTTGGATAATTCACAGACAAAAACAGGTGGGAAACACATACATCCTACCTGCTGTTACCTTTTTTTCTGTTCCAGCAGAAAACAGGAACAAACATATAAATCATGATTAATCCACAGCCAGGGATTAATCAGAATGAATCCACAAATACACCAAGAAATTTGGTTCAGGAGGTTTTTTTTTTTTTTAAATAAAATTGAACTGTCATACCGTGGTAAAATCTCACCCACACTGCTGCAGTCTGATATTTAGCCTAACAAACACAAATGACTGTTGCAGCCAATTATGATTTTGACCTGATTTTTCCAGTCACTAAAGTAGTTTGTTTCTTTATGCAAATTCTTTATGCCGACTTCCTGAATGAAGTTCACATGTTCAGAAATGCAAGATTAAAGATAATTATTTTTGTCTACAGCTGTACACACTTGTGACTCGTGATGACACCGGCGTCTGTCTGTTCAGAAGAATGCTGATAACCAGTGTGTGTTTTATTGTTGTGCTGTTCTCAGGCTTCACACTTGTGATTAAGTGTGCAGCCTGTCTTTTTTTCAGTATCTGACTGATGATGTGGTGACGTCTGTCAAACTGACATATGCATTTTTGTATGTTTTTTTGTTTGTTTGATGTTTTTTTTTTACAACAAACATAAGATATGTCACAATACAGCATGCACCGACGTATCTGTATGGAGTTATTGTTGTTTAAAAAAAACCTTAAAGAAAACGCTCATCTCATTATATTTCCCTCCTTTAATTTTTTTCCCAGCTAACCACCGACGAGCGGGTCATGCAGTGACTAACATCCTGGCCAAAGAGCTGATGCAGGAGGAAGTCGTTTCCAGTAAAGTTCCTACTAAAAAGACGAAGCTGGATGAGAAAGAGGAGCCCACTGTGGAAGATGCAGAGTCTTTAGAGGTCGCTGCCCTTCGGTCTAATTAGCCTACATGGAGATAAGGTTGTTACCCCATGCATTGGTGTGTTCTAACAGAAATGTCTTCATCATAGGCTTTTTAGGGCCAACGTTAATCTGAGATTAGCTCATTGATGTTTCTTTAACATTGTCTGAAATGCAATCTTTCAAGGCAACACTGGTCGTGTTCTGTGAGGACAGGAAGGAGTTTAAGGTAAGGGCGGGGCTCTCATCTCTTCGATGTCCATCATTGACCTTTGGGTTTTTGCCAACGTTATTATGACTTTAATTTTTTTCTGCAGCCACTGCACAAGTCTGTTTCTTGTTTATTTCAGTGATCACTTCATTAAAGGGCATATTTAAACAACATTCCAAAGACTTTCTTCTCAGGAGGAACCATTTTTTAAGCTGTTTCCACATTCCAAATATGGATTAGAAAACAAAAAGCAAATACTGCAGGTTTCAACCAACTGGTTTCAACTGTTTTTTCCTCTTCATTTGGAACGTCTCTAATTATCCAATATTACCCTGTTTGTTCACATTTAAATGTTAATAACTTTTCTGTATTACTGAAAAAAAAAGTGCCAACTAATACAAATTTGATCTGGTTATGTTTTTTCTACTGGTTTTGCTCATTCACAGTTTGCACTTGGTGTATGGACAAAGTCAGTTTGCGACATCACTTTGTTTTTGTTTTTTTCTTTATCTCTCTTCACTTTGCAATGTATGAGGTTGGTTTCACATGGGGATGACTAAATGGGGATGATTTATATAAATGTGTCTTTAGATGTATTGCCACGGATGCTCACAATGGATATATATAAATATAGGGTATAAACAAACCTTAAACATCCAGGAACATGAATGTTTTCATTTACTCAAGATTCTATTTCCCTGTTGAACCAAAAAATCTTCACAGTGTGGAGTGTGGTTTCATATAAAATCTAGCCTGAGCAGTTGCCATGCCTGTGTATGTGTGTGTGTGTGTGTGTGAGATGCCTATATTTAGTTCTGCGCCCTCCATTGACTCCGTACGAGTGTCTATGTTTGTGCATGTAGGCCTAAGTCTGCGCATGTTGTCATCTGTAATTACTGTACGGTACAAACCATGCTGTCATAAATGCTAGGTTTCATGAAGAACTCTGTGGTCTTTCTGCTGAGGATATAGCACACTGGAAAACGGCCCACAAACTGCTGAGATATGTGTGCTAGTCTGTGTGTGTGTGTGTGTTTTAACCCACTTCCTCTGTCTCTGAACTGCAGCAGTTGTTCCTGGATGCCAGACTTTGCTTCTTGTTGTTCAGCAGCATCCATGTTGCCATTACGCACTGTAATATCTGACAGAACCCATGATCTGGGACGTCAGCTGCTTCATGCACTATTTCTCTGTCACCACAACCAATTTCAATTTCTCTCTGCAAACACGACCTTGTTCATGCACTCAACCCCAATACTCAGTCAACACAGTGGTTCCCTTGTGATTTGTGGCATTTAAGATTCATCTCATATCAGAATTACTTTTGGATAAAGTAACCTGTCAGTACAGCATGTGTTGAATTATATTTTTTCTGTTGACTCCAGTGGAATATTTGGTGCAGAATCCACTGCTCCAACTGCTGTAAACCACATAATACTGTACAGTCTTAAGTCGGAGGTCAAACAACTGCTGTTTAGTGTCCAATAATGTTTGTGACTCTGTGCAGCAAATATTAACTCTTTCAAAGAGACGGACTAAAATAATGAAAATGCCACCAAACATCACTGGAATGTTTGTTTTTAATCTAAGACGATCCTTTTGCTCCTAATTTTCTAAACAATTGTTGTTTTTTTTCTATGTTAATTTTTTTTACAAGTAATTGAATGTATTTGAACGGAGATGTGTTTCTGAGATATCTCTCTGTACACAGAATAATACACAGTCATTCTGTTTGCTACACAAATCTATTAAATGTCTTAAGTAATTATTAAATGGTTTGTTTGCCTTATTATTCACACCCATTTTTTTTTTCTGGTACAGTGTTTCCCAATGCAGATTGAGTTGTGTTCTACTGTACATCTTCAACCCACTCTCTCTGTACCACAGAGAGAAAATACCAGATTGTCCCTGCACTTAGTGAAGCTGTTTTTTATTGAGAAGAATGAATAAACAGGACTGAGTTATTTCTGCAGACAAATTCCAGGCTTTGGCTCTGGCTCCAGGGTTTCCAGGGACATCTTCCAACAGTGGCCTGTGTTCTTCATGAGCACTTCAGTCGATCCTTTGCTCCGTGCGTGTGTGTGTGTTTATGCCTTCTACTGTTTTTTATCATGTGTCTCTTCTGGTTTATTTTATACCCTCCTGCTGTTGTCATCACTGTTTTGCCGTCTTTTACTTGCATCTGACTCCTCAACAGTCGAACCCGAGACAGTCTGCACACAACTGGTTATAACGTCAGACTTAAATTTTTCAATTGAAACCGTTGTTTTTGGTAAAAACTGATGCTACATTAAGGAAACTACCTGATGAAAGGGACGGGCAATAAGTGATTCTGTGATTTATCTTTATGAAGCAGTTTTTTTCATTGCATTCAACATAGTGTTATATTTTTTTTAGACAATTACAAAAATGCTTGTACTTGTACTCATAATAGAATAGAATAGCCTTTATTGTCCTTGTACAGTGTACAACGAGATTTGAGCGCTACTCATTTGGTGCAAAAAAAGAGTAGAAGATGACAGTATATACAAACATATAACAACATATCATGTACATATTTGTACCAGTCATGGCAGGGAGGATTATTATCATCGGTCATTTTCCTCATCTCCTTCCATGGACTTCAGTCCTGATATTTAAAAATCACAACAGTGGTTAAACCACTGTGGCTGGTCCTGCCTCACTGGCCGTTCTGAGTGGAAACATCCCCAAAATTCCCTGCTGTGTCACAGCCACCCACCACAGAAGCAGGACTGGAAAAAGTGAGGTTTTCCTTTGCTCAGTTTTCATTTCTTTCATACCAAAAATTGAAGGAACCATTTGTTTAGACTTTGACTTTATATAATTTTTTTTTCTTATGTCTTCTACAGTTTACACTCCCAAGCACCGAGACTTGCTGCAGCACTAAATGCTAGTTCAACATCAGAAGAGTAAACAGCAGGTAAGACTTTGATGTTCAGTGTTTTATTGGTCAATAACGTTTCCAAGAAACTTGAGAAAGTAATGAGTGCAGTAAATACAGCCTGAAACTGAACTCAGTCTCACCTCTGATTCAACACCTCAGAATGTGTTCACCTCACCGGGAGAACAAGAACCCATTTCTCCACCAGTCCCTCTGTGTAGTGACCAGAGAAGGCCAAGCATTCACCTCATTAACCTTCT